TATTTTTCTATGGCATTTCAACAAACACTTCATGTGCCATGGATTGGAGCTGTGGGAAAGGGGTATGGTCATGCTAGTAACCGAAGATGGAAGAGAAAGAGGGGAAAAGAGAAAGAGAGAGAGAGAAGAGAGGGACAAAGAGAGAGATACCTGGAGAGTGAGAATCGTCGTTGCTGGCGACGTCTCTGCTGGCGGCGTGAGAGTGAGAGAGGAACAGAGCTATGGTGGGTTGCTGTTTGGACAAACAAAGAAGAGAGAAAGATAGATCAGAGAGAGGGGTTAACGATCGGGTGAGAAGGGAGGAGAGAGAAGGGAGTGAAATTTGGGAAAAAGTGCTTGATAGATATGGGTTTGAGGGAAACATATAGGGGAGAAATGACTTTGAAATGGTGTTTGCGGGTGAGAAATGATGAATTTGGGGGGAAAGAATAGGTTATTGGTGGCCTTTGGATGAAATGAATTGTGACCGTTCGATCGGCTTGTTGAAACCCGCTGTGTTTTATATTATAGATTAAAATAAAACCAAAAATAAAAATTTAATTTTTTCATAAAAAATCATAATTAGTATACAAACTGTCTATTAGAATTTAATTTGGTCGTTTAAACGACCAAATTAAAATACCAAACTACCCTAACTAAAGATAAAATATATTATGTCTATTGCAATTTGACCTTTTGTTTATTTTTTTTTAGTTTTATTCTAATAGATAATATAATTATATATTAACTATAATTTTTTATTAAAAACCTAGATTTTTATTTTTAATTTTATTTAAATAAATGACATAATAGATAGTCATCCATGTTTTATTATGAATGACTTAGATCCCTTGTTTGATTGTTTAGTTTTATTTCAAAAGATAATATAATTGTATACTAAATTATGATTTTTAAGAAAAAATTAAATTTTTAATTTTAATTTTGTTTCAATAAATAATACAATAGAACATGAATTTTGATTGTAAAATTTAAAATATTTAATATTCTATTATTCATTGGAATATTTTTTGTTTAAGTATAATTTTTTAAACTTAAAAAATTCAAGTATTATATACCTACAAACTTCAGAGGGGTTTAAGTAAAATTTATTAACAGATATATTTACATTAGGGATCTAAGTGTTACGCGCGTACAAACTTTAGAGGATCTATATGTAATATTTCAAATGTCAAGGGATCTGAGTGATTAAGTGACAAACCTCAGGGGATCTGAATGTAATTTTTCCTAAACAAAAAAAATTAGAAAATATCCTAAAATATTAATATCGGTCCTAAAAAATATATATATATATATATATATATATATATATATATATATATATATATATATATATTTTTTTTTGGGATTATGTTACAAGATTTGAGTTTCAAGGTACAACTATTTGGCGTGTTTGGGATTGATAGCCAATTTTTATTATATTTTTGGGTATTTTTATAATTTTTGTGACTATTTTTATAACTTTGTTGTAACTGTTTTTATTTTTATCACTTTTGTAATATATTGCAATCCATCCTAAAATATTATGATCTATAGCAAAATGCCACAAAAATAATAAAAATAGTTAAATGAGTTGAGTTAAGTTTGACTAATGTTCGACACAAACTCGTAATAACTCAACATGAACTAATAAAAAAAAAAAAAAAAACTAGAGGGTAACTGACTCAATTATCATCCCTAATTTTAACCAATACAAAAAAAAAATTAATTATTTTTATTTTTCATTCATTCTACCAAACACAAAAAAAAAAAATGTATCATTCCTATTTTCTTTCTTTAAAGGATAAAAATTGTATCCTCCTATTTTTATCTTTTTTATTTTCTATTGTTTCTAGCAAACAGAGTATTAATTTTTTTGTTTTACACAAGCCCTAAAAATAAAATTTATCAATTCGGACAGTGCCACCTACTCTGTAATGCAGTCATGGAAAGTCAGTATCATAAATTCGTGACATTGGGGTTCGGACCCAAAAACGCATTTTTCAAGTCCGAAATAAAAAAAAATTGTCGGAAAATCCGACTTGAAATTTATAGTTTTTTTGGAATTATGTTATAAGATTTGAGTTTTAAGTTGGTGCGTTAATCGATATGAGTTGCCCGGGTTCAATTTGAACTCAACTCATATTCTTAACGAATTGAGTTTAAAAAATTCTTTAGACTCGTTTATAAAAACAAACTAACAATGTTCAACTTAAACTCGTAAATCTCAATTTATTTATATGTAAAGTAGTTAAGTTGCTTAGACTCAGCTTGGGGTCGGGCTCAACTTATTTTCTAAACAATTCAAAGTTGAACAATTTTTTTAATTCATTTAAAAAAATGAGTTCATCAAATTCGGACTTAATCTAAGATCGACTTGATTAACACTCATACTTTCAAGTTACACTTGTTTGTGTTGTTTGGGATAGATCTAAAATTTCTAAAATTATTATAAACCCCTCAAAAGTTTGAAATAACTTTAAAAATCTACAAAACTCTTAAAAAGTTGTATATCGATGTATGGTGCCTAAAACAATAACCCCAAAATTGTATAAAAAACCGAAGCAGTCTCTAAATATTTTTTGAAAAGTTTCAGCCACACTTATTTTAGTTTATTATATTTTTAAAAACACTTCTTCTATTATCAAAAAATACTGACACCCCTTTTTATTTATATTTAAATATCACTGACACTTTTTGCCATTAAATCATAATTTCTAACAAAAAACAATCATCTAAAATACCAAAAATATTTGTACATAACCTTCAAATAATCTTTCTACATAAAATTTGATTACAAGTTGAGCCGATTAAAATTCATTTTTAATATATTAAAATTCGAGTTGATTAAAATTCGTTTTTCTACTTATTAAAATTTGAACTGATTAAAATTCAATTCAAGATAATTAATTTTTTTTACGTATTAAAATTCGAGTTGATTTGAACTCTACCTATACTGTTAGCGTTGATTAAAATTCACTTTAAGTCAGTTTAAATTTATATTATTTTACTTATTTAAGTTCATGTCAATTAAAATTTGATTTGATTAAAATTTATATTTTTTTTATGTATTAAAATTTGGGTCAATTTAAAATTTTTTTTAATCAGATCAAATAGAATTTTAATCGGCTTAAATTTTAATACGTAAAAAATATAATTTTTAATAGAATTGAATTTTAATATGTAAAAAATAAATTTTAATTAATTTGAATCGAATTTTAATTGGCTCAAATTTTAATACATAAAAAAATTTAAAAAATAGAAGGAGTTTCATTGAAGATATTTCTATCTAGAGGGGATGTGAATGAAGTTTTCATAAAATATATCATGGACAATTTAATAAAATTGCATTTGAGTTAACGGCCTTAATCTAACAGGGGTATCAGTAAAAATTTAAAAAATAGAAAAGGTATTTTTAAAGATATGATAAACTAGAGGGTAATTGAATGAATTTTCACAATTTTTTTTTAACATTAGTCGTGCCAAGTTGTTGTCGATTTGGACAGTGCCACCAACTCTGCAATACGATCACGGAAAGTCAGTACCATAAATTTGTGACATAGGGATTCGGACCCAAAATTCCAAAACTCTGAGATCTATAGAAAAAGGAAATCATGGTATTGATTCATAGTGGAGAACATAAAGCTATTGAGCTTTTTAAGGATTGGTTCGTGGTGGTTATAGGGAGTCTAAAAGCTCCGAAACTCAAAAGAAGCTATGAAAGGTATGTGAGTGGCTGCTCTTTTATTCTCTCGTTTTTCTGTTGGTCACATCTGATTCTATCTTTATAACTAATAGTGGAAGATTACCAAAACTTACAAGTACTTAAGATTAGGTACAGTTTATTTCGGATTAAGTTACGACTAAAAATTATATTACAAGTTAAAATTCGATGCATTACTTTCATGGTTTATTGTAGAGGTCACGACATTGCCACACTAAAATAATCGGATTGTTTTTTTTTTTTTTAACTGTTGTAGTAATGAATTGGAGCAACTCTAGAATTATTTAGACACTTTGAGAGTAATTTTAGGAGGTTGAGTATCGAGCAAAGCTAAATGTCCATTTACGAGTTCACTCTAGATAATTAATATGTTGAAAACAAATAAGATTATTTACTGTTTACTTTTCACATGGGCTATCTCACATCAAATAGCATCGGGTGTGTGAGTGTGTCTATAAGTCTCCACTTGGTTCTTACTCTATTAGAATAAGTGGTTAGGTGTGAATAAAAAAAAACCGCTTTCGGGTCCATATGGGGCGTTCAGTGCTAGACTGGAAACCCACTCTTTGGGCCGTTAGGTCCTGCGATAATGGTAATAACGCCGAAGTGTTGGGGGACTGGACTATCCCACACCGAATAACTTTAGGTGTGTGAGTGAGTCTATAAATCTCAACTTGATCCTTACTTTTCACATACTCTATTAGAACCGTGAGTCAGCTTATGCACTCACTATGACTCTCTCTCACTGAAATAGATTTATGAAATCCCTCCAAACTCAATTCTTAAGTTTTATTCATGGGATTGGACAAGACAATATACCATATTTAATCCCATTTTTAGTAAATAATACACATAAAACCTCCAGATAAACCACAAATATCATAAAATATTTGTTATGGAATTGTCCACTATGTGTTTGTTGAAACACATATACATGAGTTTTACTTACAAGCCGAAACTCAATTTTCAGGCTGCAAACTGCAACTGAATNTAACCACTATGTGTTTATTGAAACACATATACATGAGTTTTACTTACAAGCCGGAACTCAATTTTCAGGCCGCAAACTGCAACTGAATAAGAGATAGAGTGATCTATTAGACTATTTTGAGAGAATTCATTAATGAATACTACTCAAACTCGTAAAACAATCAGGCTTGAAAATTTCATGTCGTACTCGGGTCGGGTTGGATTCAAATTGAACCGCACAAATTTGCAAACAAAAGCAGGAAAGGGTTAATGGGCTTGGGATAACTGATTTTAAATGCTGACATGTTTTGGCTTCATGTTGGTTTCAGCAATGCAAGAGAATTCAGGAGGCAATGCTTGGTTTTTTATACCTGCAGCTTCAAGCCAAAAAATTGACCCAATTGGGAATCCTCTGTGTGGAGTGGGATCAGATATTATCAAAGGTGAAGTAAGTGCTTATGGAGAGAGGATCGTAGGGTTGGGTTCTGCATATATCCAGAGCAATGTGAGTTAGCTGTGATGTGAATACCGCACACTATATATATACTGCTGGGTATGTTTGCTTTCAGTATTGGGTCGGTATTAAATTAGGAAATAGAAATAAATAATACTTAGGCCCTACTTATACTTTGTTTGTTGTGTTTTTTATATGAGAGATTATTAATGGGATTAAGATTCCAACCCATAATTGGCCAGCATGCTACAGAGCCTCGAAACCCATGTAGAAGTGCTCATCTCATACCACCAAATTAGTGGTATTGTAAAGTGGTATATGGGCTGCCACTAGGATACGATAATTAAATTACACTATTATCCCCTCAACACACTTAACAAGGTTGTTATGGTCAATAAGTTTGGTGGAGCCCACTACAAACCCTTAACACGCATTCAAATATGGGATTACATTGAATAAAGTATATAAACCGAGATATAAAAATTATTAGGTTGGATTAGTATAGATTTCATTATCCAGTACAATTCAAACTTATCCTTCAAACAGATATACCTCTAGGGTTGTGAAATGAATTGACTAATTGAGCCCGAGTTCGACTCGGTTTTGGCTCATCCTAGTTTTATCTTATTTGTTTTGAGTTTTTTCAATGTACTCGAACTTCGGCTTTAATTTGAGCTCATAGTACAAAAATGAGCCCAGCCACGTTCTTGCACATACAAGTGAGAAACCAAGTTTGAGCAAGAATACAAACTTGACAACAGAACCCCGAGCCAAGGTCAAAATAATCATGAGATAATCAACTTGAACTCAGTCTAAACACGTCAAAGTTCGAACGAATCTTCAAGATTTAACACCCCCATAATCTACTCTGGACTTTTTAAAAATTTGAAATAGTACTCTGGGTGTACTTTGGTTCTACAACTATCTNCAAGATTTAACACCCCCATAATCTACTCTGGACTTTTTAAAAATTTGAAATAGTACTCTGGGTGTACTTTGGTTCTACAACTATCTTTATGGATCCCTCCTCAATAATAATGATTTGACGTTTAATATTGAATTAGGGTTCTGATCTGCTTATTGCCATTGGAATTTAAAACAGATCCGCGGATATTTTTGCAACCCCCAATACTATTTTCAAGTGAATGATCAATACGTGAAGAACAAATTGAAGGTGATATTGTTCCCATTTCTGCACAAGGTATGTGATTGTTGAAACTGGCCATCACCTTCTCTCTTTCTCTCTGTCTCTCTCTTTCTCTCTCTCTGCCCATGGTTACATCTTCTAAGTTAATTTTTTCCACTGTCTTCATACATATTAGGGACATTGGATGAGAACAACAGAGCTGGTTGGGCTTGAATTCTCATACAAACCTCCAGTTTATGATATTAATGCACCTGATCTGTACATCCCAATGATGGCATTTGTCACCTATTTGCTTCTTGCTGGTTTCTTGTTGGGCATCAATGGAAAGTGAGTCCAAATTCAATACCACACTTTCTTTCTCTCTTTTTTTTTTGAGGAATTTTAAACATAAAATTTCCCACCAAAAATGGTTTAAAAGTACGACTGTAGGAAAGATCAAAGCTGTCCATGGCCTATAGGCCATGGGAAGCCTACGGATTGGTCAAACTTGTCATTGTCTCGGGTGGGCAACAATTTTCAAACTTCCAGTTAGTTATTAAATGCAACGGGCTAGTGACCAACCTAGCCCGACCATTCTGTGGGACAGTTCTACCGGGGATCATTCTCGGCTTGTACCATACACAACCCTATCCACTATAGAAACGGATTGCACTAGAGATAAACATGAATAACTCGAATTTGACACAATTAAATGTTAAAGAGTGTATGACTTTTCCCCTTGTTTGACTATGATAATATTCATATTCAGTGGGTGCTTAACTCATGAAGATCTATTAGTATGAAGTCACTTGTCACGTCGATTAAATGATTAAAGTTGATAATTGGTACTCGACGTAAATTCAAAGTGACACGAGAGAACACAATAAGTCATGACTTAGTCGTCACCTTCGTTAATTTCCTAGGCTTTCAGAGCAGAAACTAGAGAAAAATCTGCTATCAACAACTAATCAATCTATCCAGAGCTGAAAGTTTGCTCAAAGCTTGTCACATTTTACAGGTTCAGCCCAGAAGCTCTGGGTGTGCAGTTTAGTACTGGACTACTATGTGGGCTACTACAAGTACTCCTTCTTGAGGCCATATTACACTCCCTTGGAGGTGGAGATATACCACTGCTTGACATGGTCTCCTATGGTGGATACACTTTTGTAGCAGCTTCCATCATTGTGCTTGCTAGGATTATATGGAATTACTCTTTCTGTGTAGTCACTGTGTGGGAATGTTTTTGTCTGGCAGTGTTCTTGGTAAAGACAATGAAGAGGATTTTGATTGCTGAGGTGAGAAGTTTTGAGAATAATCGGACCAAGAGGAATTACCTCTTGCTTCTAATGGCAGTTTCTCAGATTCCTTTGCTGTTTTGGCTTGGGAGTGTGGGTGTTTAGAACAGGAAGAAGAAGAGTAGGAGAAGCTTTGGCTTTAATTGAGCTCTATGATTTTGTGCATCAATTATTTGTATGAAATGTGTTATGAATCGAGAAACGATATAACCTATTATCGCAAATAATTCACGAATTGTGTTCGATGTATCTATGTAATTGATATTTTATAGAGAAAATATTTGTGTTTTTTATTTTTTGGTCTTTTTCTTTCACGTGGTACCGTAAAGGATAATATGATATAAATTTATATTTTTTATTGAAACAATATTATTGAGACCTAATTTACTAACATAATTTGTTGACCTAATTCACTGTAATCTTTGAATTCAATATAGATCTCATCAAACATTGAAACTTGGTGTTGATCCAATGATTTTTGTGAAGTCACATCATTGTATCAGCAAATTAAATCAGATTTTTAAGTTTAAATAATATTACTCTTTTTATTGATGTGACCTTATATTTTAGGCACTTAGATTTAAATATACTTATATTCAATTTGATTGTAATTCGATCTGAAATATGTATATATTTTTGTATAAATATTCAAGACATTAAGTGATTTTTTGAAGAAATTTAGTTAAAAATTTAAATGTGATTTATTAATATTCAAGAATTGAATTTTAAATTGTTAACAGATTCAATTAAGAACCATGAAAATTAAATCCGTTAGATAATTTGATCACATTTAGATCGGGCTTTTAAAACAAATCTAAATTCAAATTAGTCAAAATCTGATGTGTTGATTATCTCTTTGCTTGTGATTAATCGTTAGACATTAGAAGATCTTGGCAACATTAGAATTATGATTCTAACCCAACGATGATTTGGCCAATATATGCTAGACTAGAATATAATTGACAATGAATTGTATAGAATTTGTGTTGTGTTTAGGTTGCATTTTATTAATAAAAAATTAATGTATATTTGATCTAGACATATCGAATTCATATGTAAGTTATTTCTAATTATGTATTATCGAGTTTATGTTAATTATTTATTAATTTATTATGGTCAACTAATGTCGTCGAACACTCGAACTCATCCCACATCCGATGATTCTTCTGTCAATCTCATGAACAAGATAAAAATTGAAACAAATTTAATAGCATCATTAAAACAACTTGCTGGTATATTATGTTATTCAATGGCACAGGCTTTGCCCGCACCAATTTAGGAACGTGGTCAAACCTAAGCACTTACATACAAATAGTTATGTCCATGGATTGAATTTTAATTCGAATTCAATTTGAAATCGAATTTAATTAATTATATATAAATTGATATTTTTTATCGATTATCCGATTCCAATATCTTATGTTTCATGGATTTATATTTTGATATACTCTATCCGTTTCGAATATGGTCTGATCTAAAATATTTATATATATTTTTTAATAAATNTCAATTTGAAATCGAATTTAATTAATTATATATAAATTGATATTTTTTACCGATTATCCGATTCCAATATCTTATGTTTCATGGATTTATATTTTGATATACTCTATCCGTTTCGAATATGGTCTGATCTAAAATATTTATATATATTTTTTAATAAATATTATAAAAATTTAGTTATAATTTAAATATAATTTGTTATAATTTAGTTAAATTAAATTATTCATATTAGAATAAATTTTGAATTATGATTAATTACATTGAAGGTTCCCAAAATATGAAATTTGTGTCATTTTAGTTCTCAATATTTCAATTACATCATTTTGATCCCTGAAATATTAAATATGTTTCTATACGGTCTCTCAAGAAGACATCGTTTAAGAAGACATCGTTTTGTGTCATTTTAGTTCTCAATATTTCAATTACATCATTTTGATCCCTGAAATATTAAATATGTTTCTATACGGTCTCTCAAGAAGACATCGTTTAAGAAGACATCGTTTTGTGTCATTTTAGTTCTCAATATTTCAATTACATCATTTTGATCCCTGAAATATTAAATATGTTTCTATACGGTCTCTCAAGAAGACATCGTTTAAGAAGACATCGTTTTGTGTCATTTTAGTTCTCAATATTTCAATTACATCATTTTGATCCCTGAAATATTAAATATGTTTCTATATGGTCTCTCAAGAAGACATCGTTCAAATTGTTAACAATTTTTTATTATAAACTTGTCACGTGATACTTAAATATAGGTAAAAAAAAATTATTTTGATAACTCTTGACAAAATTTTCACCCAAATTATACAGTTTTAATTATAAGATATCCAAAATTTGGTTAAAAGGTACCCATATTACACATTTTAGTCAATAACAANATGGTCTCTCAAGAAGACATCATACAAATTGTTAACAATTTTTTATTATAAATTTGTCACGTGATACTTAAATATAGGTAAAAAAAAATTATTTTGATAACTCTTGACAAAATTTTCACGCAAATTATACAGTTTTAATTATGAGATATCCAAAATTTGGTTAAAAGGTACCCATATTACACATTTTAGTCAATAACAACCCAAATTTTAGTCAAGAGCTATTTAAATTTTTTATTGTACATATTTAGGTATTAATATTATGTGATAAGTTTATGATAAAAAATCGTTAGCAATTTAAATATTGTTTACTTGAAAAATTATATAAAAATATATTCAATATTGCAGTGATCAAAATTATGTAATTAAATTATTAAGGACCAAAATGAGACAAACTTCATATTTTGAGGACCTTCGGTGTAATTAACCGTTTGAACTATTAATGAATTAGATTGAATCGGACTTTCAAAATAGGATTCGGATCAATAAAAATNGCAATTAAATTATTAAGGACCAAAATGAGACAAACTTCATATTTTGAGGACCTCCAGTGTAATTAACCGTTTGAATTATTAATGAATTAGATTGAATCGGACTTTCAAAATAGGATTCGGATCAATAAAAATCCGGTCCTAACTCGATCCACGCAAACGTACAAATACCACCGATTCTCTTTCTCTTCGTTTTCTAATATTCCCTTTTTCAATTCCTTTCTTTCCTGTCGGATTCCAAAGAAAAACAGGTACTTTCCATTTTCCTTTCAAACCATTTGCTTTTAATTCTACTGTTTGATTCGAATTCTGCTGTCTTCAAATTCTAATGTTTGAGTTTTTAGGAAACTGGGAGGTGTGTAATTAATTTTTCTGTTGATCTTGATTTTCTTCTATGNTTGCTTTTAATTCTACTGTTTGATTCGAATTCTGCTGTCTTCAAATTCTAATGTTTGAGTTTGTAGGAAACTGGGAGGTGTGTAATTAATTTTTCTGTTGATCTTGATTTTCTTCTATGATTTTCCTAAAGTTTTATAACAACCCAGCAGACATAGAATTGGGGATTTTCTGTCGTTTGGTATTTGCCAGTTTTAGAGGTAAAACACTGCCGGCGACCTGTTTGGTTACTTAGGAATAAAAGGAAAATAAATTACAGGAGAATTTTAGGGTTTTACATTAACGTGCACGTGATCTGTTTGGTTGCTGAGAAAATATAGGAAAGGTTCTTAATCTTCTATTGTTTGATCATAAACTTGTGGCAAATATTAGTATACCTATCTCTTTCTGCGGTAAAAATATTGGGGGTACCGCTTACACACTTAAGCAGACATAGTGTAACCGTTCAATAATTAAATAACACCTGGACAAGTGAATCCCACCCAATATTTTGTACTCTTTGTGAGTGTGCTCGGATCATAGGTTAAATGTTGTTATATAATTTTTTGTTAATCTGCTTTGGGTGTATATGGGTGGGTGGGTTTGGCGGGATCATAAGTTTGATTTTGCAATTTCAATTGTAAATTCAATTTTTGTGCCATTCAACCTATGAGGTCATGTTTCTGTATAACTTTCAATTCGATGTGTGAGAAAATTTTCTTCCTATGCTACCAAATGGGTATTGGTGGAATTTGAGTCTAACTTTTACTTCTTTTTTGTTATGACATTTGCGTTTTTCTGGATTTTGGTGGCAGGATATATAGAATTCTAGACATGTTAGAGCAGTTATTGATTTTTACTAGAGGAGGATTGATCCTCTGGACATGTAAAGTGCTTGGAAATGCTCTTAAAGGATCACCCATTGACACTTTGATCAGGTCCTGCCTCTTGGAGGAACGATCTGGTGCCGCATCATATAATTATGAGGCTCCTGGTGCTGCCTATACTCTCAAATGGACATTCCACAACGAACTTGGCCTTGTATTTGTTGCTTTGTATCAGCGGATTCTCCATCTTTTGTATGTGGATGATTTGCTTGCTATGGTGAAGAAAGAGTTTTCCGAGATTTATGATCCGAAAAGGATGGTGTACAATGATTTTGATGATACATTTAGGCAGCTTAGGAAGGAAGCTGCGGCTCGTGCTGAGGAAATCAAAGCAGGTAGGTAAGCCCGTGAACAATTATTCAGGTAAGAAGCAAGGGCAGGTGCAGGGCCTTGAAGGAGGTAATCAAGAAAAGAGTGGTGGTGAATCAGGAAATGATTGTGGGGATGGTGATAGTTTAATGGGCAAATTGGAAAATGATCATTCCAATGGTAATCATGTTGGAAATGGGGAATTCCCAACATTAGGTAATGTGAATGGTAAAAAGAATAGGAGCTCCAATACTGGGGCTTTCAATGTAAATAAGCTACAGAAGCTTAGAGCAAAAGGTGTGAAGAAAACTGATACTGTTGTTAACAAGGATTCCAAGCAGGAACCAAAGAAAAAGATAACAAAGAAGAATAGAGTTTGGGATGATTTACCTCCAGAGTCAAAATTGGATTTTACAGATCTGTTGAGTGAGAATGGTGATGAGAATATAGCAGTTATGGCAGTGGATCGAGGGGAAAGTATGATGGACAGAGAGGAGATTCTCAGCAGTGAAAGTGAAAGTGAAGAGGATGAGGAAGCAGGGAAGGATCACAAGGTTGATGCAAAAAAGAAAGGGTGGTTTTCAACCATGTTCCAGAGGTAAATCTGTTTTCATCTTTTCTCGGTTACTGTCGATTCCATTTGAGGTCATCTACATTTTGTTTTACAGCAAAATGAATCAAGATTTAGAATAACGATATTTTCTATGTAGATTATACAAAATTCTTTCATGTGTATTTTTATACCACATAAGGCATCATCAGAATTTGCTGTATTGAAGTTATATATATGTGTGACTTGCTAATTGCATCTCTCTTTCACACACACACAGAGTCACATGCGCACACACAGCGGGCGTGCAAATATACAAGTGCTGGTGTATACTCAGCTTAAATAGAAACAGGTTGCTTGTGTTGCTAGTTCTGGTTTTCCTCTATATCAATGACGAATATGATACTTTTGTATATTCTTTTAGGTAGGATTGTTGCAGGAAGGGCTTCTGTTGTAATAATTGTGACATTGAGAAATACAGTTAGGACACTTTGTTTTCTAACGTCTTTCTTGTTCAAGAGTGGGTGGGTTTGTGGGGTTGGATGTTAATGGTCTCATAAGACAGGAACATCCACACTTACATGTGTGTGTGTCTTTTTGATATTATTTGTTCTTTCAATTATGGTGTCTAAAGTGATCTACATTTACATAATGTTCTGTGAATGTTAACTTGGGGGAAGTTCACAAAGAAAACATGTTTGCTGTATGCATGAAATCATTCTTTGGGGAGCTTTTATCCACTTATAGGAGACAGCTTCATTTACATTATAGATGATCTTTGTGTTCGGACCCTATCATTTCAGAATCGTGTCAAGAACCCCTCAACACGAGCACAATCCATTTAATTAAACCTGTCAAGCTTCTCAATTCTAATACCAGACCGAAGGAATTGCGAAACGGAACTAAATATTAAAGGAAAAAAGTTGTGATAGGGATTTGTTGCTACCTTNCGATCCATTTAATTAAACCTGTCAAGCTTCTCAATTCTAATACCAGACCGAAGGAATTGGGAAACGGAACTAAATATTAAAGGAAAAAAGTTGTGATAGGGATTTGTTGCTACCTTTGGATCAAGGAATTGCTTCATACTTCTACTCCAGTCATAATGGCTTTATTGTTACAAGTGTGTTGCATTTCCATCTCCATGTCATTAGGCTGATAGATACTTACATCACTTGCTCTTTTCCTCCCAGTATTGCTGGGAAAGCAAATCTGGAGAAGGCGGACCTTGAACCAGCTTTGAAAGCTCTCAAGGATAGGCTTATGACTAAGAATGTGGTATGTGTACTTTGCTCTGGCTCTTTCTGTTTCTCATATTTTTTCCTACTTCCTGCATAGTATTTTTAGCAATGTAGAAATCTGTTCATTGTGATTTTTGGCGCCCACAGGCCGAGGAAATAGCTGGAAAATTGTGTCAATCAGTAGCAGCAAGTCTTGAGGGTAAAAAGCTTGCCTCCTTTACCAGGATATCTACAACAGTTCAGGTATCTGGGCTTGAATTTGTCCCCCTGATCGCCTAATTTCCCTTTATTTTTTTACATTTTTAATGTTTACCAGCAGATTTATATTATGATTGAAATGATGACTCCAGGCAGCAATGGAAGAGGCTCTTGTTCGCATCTTGACTCCCAGACGCTCCATCGACATTCTGAGGGATGTTCATGCTGCCAAGGAACAACAGAAACCATATGTTGTGGTTTTTGTTGGAGTTAATGGAGTAGGAAAATCGACGAATCTTGCTAAGGTAATGCTCACCTAGTATCTATTCATTTCATAGAATTTATTGCTTGGTTTATTTTGTCATCTGACAAGCATTTCTTAAATGCCACTCCGCAGGTTGCTTATTGGCTGCTGCAGCATAAGATCAATGTCATGATGGCTGCATGTGATACATACCGTTCAGGAGCTGTTGAGCAATTGCGTACTCATGCACGTAGACTTCGGGCATGATTATAATTACACCACATTATGTCCTTGGGTCTTGGGTCTCTTCATGTTCAAGCGTTGTTTCCCAAGTAGGATATTGTGCACAGACGTATAATCAATGACTGGTTGTTGACTCATGGCTAACTGCCTTTTTCAGATCCCTATTTATGAGAAGGGCTATGAGAAAGATCCTGCAATTGTAGCAAAGGAATCCATTCAAGAGGCCTCTCGAAATGGTTCTTGTCGATACAGCTGGTCGAATGCAGGTAAATTTTATGTTGTTACAAAGGTGTTATGGTTCCCACTGATGATCTGATTATTTGTGGGCATCAAATTCAGACATCATGTGGATGGATTCGTAGGACCAAAATCCATTTCCAGTGTTCCCACTTGAAATAGATATAATGCAAACTATCAGTTCCCTTGTATATTTCCGTTTATCACCGTTGCTTTGTTAAGATTTATATGTCATTGCACAGGATAATGAGCCACTAATGAGAGCATTGTCAAGGCTTATCTATGTCAATAATCCAGATCTGGTCCTGTTTGTGGGCGAGGCACTGGTTGGGAATGATGCTGTTGATCAGCTATCAAAGTTCAATCAGGTTCAGTCCCTATGTTTCTGTCACGTTTTCTATTCTTGTATAGATTTTCGTTATGTTCTAATTACTCGCATGTCATTGAGCAATGTATCCTGGTTCTTTCAGAAATTAGCCGATCTTTCACCCTCCCCTAACCCCAGCTTGATTGATGGAATTCTGCTCACGAAGTTTGATACCATTGATGATAAGGTACACAATCTTGTCAACCGGAAGATCTTGAATATGTAAAAACGTTTTTAGATTGTTTTGAATTTGATTTGCATTTTTGTGTGCATCCGGTATCACTGCTATTGGTCGATGATGTAGGTTGGAGCAGCCCTGTCGATGGTTTACATATCTGGGGCTCCTGTGATGTTCATTGGATGTGGTCAGTCTTATACAGATTTGAAGAAGCTGAATGTGAAGGCCATTGTCAAGATCCTCCTGCAATAAGAAGATATGCTGGTCTCACACCATTTGTTACTTTTGCTTCCTATCCTTCAGTGTGTTATGCACCTCTGTATCCATGCTACCTCTTCTGTACTTTCTCCCTTTGATCTCATGGAGGTGAATTAGTTCCTTGCGGCTGTAATTTATATATTGATTTATTTTTGTGTTCACAGCAAACCTTCACAGACACATGGGACCTAGGATTCCACCCGGCCAAGTCACCTCAATTATACAAGCTTTAACCAGTGCATAACAGACCATCCACTGGATTTGGATTTCATCTCTTCCAATACACTTTGTCCATTTTTGGTAGATTAAGCAATTACGAACTCAAATGGGATCCACTTTATAAGTGGGTTTGTGAGAGAGAGAGAAAGATATTTATCAATCTACGGCACTTTTAGAACAAAATTATCGAACTATGACATTTTTTGAATTTATTTATTAAACTAAAGTACTTTTTAAAGCGGTGCCAACAACTTTGTTTTTATTAAAAAGTGAGATTAACAATCTTGTTTTTAGGAGGGATTTTTTTGGGNTTTCGAACTATGACAGTTTTTGAATTTATTTATTAAACTAAAGTACTTTTTAAAGCGGTGCCAACAACTCTGTTTTTATTAAAAAGTGAGATTAACAATCTTGTTTTTAGGAGGGATTTTTTTGGGCTTGATACCCTTTTATTGCGTCTGATGAATAGTTTTCTCCCTTTGACCGCCCAAAAATTAAATGACTTTTTGTAATAAAGTGGGGTTGACTATCCTATTTTTTAAAAGTTGTCATAATTTAATAAATAAATTTAGAGCTATTGTAATTTGGTAACTTTATTTCGAATAAAAAATTAGCATTTAACACATTTGAGTCTTAAGCGATTAAACTTATCAAATTTTTATGTTTAAATAATATTTATTTTTGTAATAAATCCCACAGCATGACCACGGTGTGTGGACAGTAACCAAAGCAAAATACAAACCATTGCTTCTTCCATAGACCATAGCATGTCTTCTTAACATTTCCTCCCAAGAGAATAGGAACATGAAGCACCCACCATTGCCCCATGTTGGAGCTAAACTTGGATCACCAAATGAACCCGAAGAAAGTGGGCTAATCTCATGAAGTATCAGTATAATAGCCGACATATTCCATTGCTCTCAAAGACAAAGTCAATCTAGCTATATCGGTCAATCACTCCTCTGGCCAATGATAGTATGCCACGTGTCACTCCCTCCCTCATCACTCTCTATTTCATCTAACCCACCTTTACTTTCTCTCCCGTTCTTTTGTTCAAACCTTCTCATGCCCATGTACCTATAGACTTACAATTGTAGAGAGAGGAAAAAAGAGTGAAGTAACAGAGAAAAATGGTAGGGTCTGGAAATGTGAAGGCAGCCGGAGTTCAGGCGGAGCCTAAGATACCATCTCCGGGGGAGGTTCCGCCGGAGGTGCTCCACCAGCGGAAGAAACTACCAATCTGTCCCGTGAGAATGGCTGTCGGCGGATTCGCCATCGTGGGTCTCCTCGGTTATCTCACCTTGTACTCCAAGAAAAAGCCTGAAGCTACTGCCATAGAAGTCGCCAAAGTCGCTACCGGAAATGCCAGTCCCGAGAACACCCATCCTCGCAACTGAACTAGCTAGATAAAGATTCATGGTGGTGGGAGTACGTGGGACTCTATGCCTCATAGGGCTTTTATTCAACATTTTTATGAGTTGCCTACATTTACATTGGATTAGTTTCAAGTTTCTGTGGTTATTCTTTCATTTTTTTGGCATCTGAATTATGTTATATGGAATAAGTGTGAACACGTATATAGAATTTCTTTCTTTCTTTAATTTTTTTGCTAGAGAAAAGGGTGGTTCACATACACGAGATGTAGTGATTCTCGCGACGTTATTTTGAGGTTTTCAATTAATATAAAATATTTGGTTTGAGTAATAGTTATTATGTTGAATTGGTTAAGTTTGTCACTATAGCACCATCGATAACAAATTAGACATTCAATCATTCCATTAATATGTTGTTTATAGGAACTACTGCAAGCGAATTCGAAATCGTGACCACTAAATAAGGACGAGACTTTCACCTTTTATTGAAAGTCAACTAGACTATCACCTCGATAGTTTTTTTTGTACATTCCCTTAGAATCTAGATTAATTATGCTACTTGGACCTAATTAATTTGTTGATTTAATCACTCACAATAATTATATTAACAATGGGTTTCGCATTTGCTAGAACCTGCTATCAATTCAATAGTTAAAATAGATTAAATCAGGAAATTATATTAATAAATTCTATCAAAATAATATCATTGTAAAATCTACCCTCATGCAAGTGTAGGGATTGGGCTTAATCTTGCTAAATTTATGAGTAAGTAATTTTTCTAATTTTCTTCGATGGGAAATCACCAAGTGTATATTAGGTCAAAGACTCACTTTTATATATATATAATGCAACGCTCGTGGAGAGAATGTCAATATCTGATTTATTTTATTCCCAAGTCCATTAGGAAGCTACTTTATTTTATTTTTAAGTTTAATTACAATTCTATTATTTCTTAATTTAATTGTATATCTAGTTTATTTCCTAGTTTAATGAGTTTTACCTTGTTTTTTTTTTTTTTTTATTATTCTTAGTTTATTTCCATGCGAGAAAATCAACGAGGCACGGCAAGTTTGTGTGATTCGGTCAGCCTAAAATTTTTCTTCTTGTGTATATCCTTCGTCCAGGTCCTACGTCCTACTTAAATAAATATTCGCAATTTACCATTAAATAAAAATGTATTGGCAGAGATGATTCTGAAAGAAGGGGAAAAAAAGTTTTATGTATCTATGTAGGGGTGTCCACGGATTGGATTGTCCACCGGTCTTGTTACTCGGTCCGAAAAAATAGGTTCGAAACCTGATAAGTCCGATAGTTGGTCTACCTGAACCGGAACTCAATATCTTTCAAGAGAGGGCTTGAACTTACCCCCAAACCCATTACCCAACCAAAAATTCAGCCCAATAGTCCGCCCACAAAAACCTATTAAAACGTGGTCCATGAGCTTGCCCGTCCAGTCCAGTCCATTCAAAATATAAAAATAAGTCCCTCAATGTTAAAATTTGAAGTTTTAAAAATTTAATATTATAAATAATGTATTTTTTTTATTTTTTATGTATTAAACATACACGTTTTAAAGGATAAAATTATGTAAATAATAGATAAATAGATAGTTGGAATGTGCTCATTCTATTGTGATGCAGTTCATCCCCTATTTATAAATAAAATTATTCATCATTTATTTTTTGTCTATTTTAACTCTACTTTTAATTTTAAAATGTAATTTACAAAAATATTAAGTTTTAAAAATATTTATTATTTTTAAATAATATTATATATAAAAAGTATGTACAATAGGCATGCCCGCAAGCCCTCCCAACAGACTCATAGGCTCACACCAACAGGTCTGCCCAGTGAGGGGCAAGTTGGTCTACATGTAGCCTACCCTTAATCAAACTGGTGCGACTTGCGCCAATAATTCACCGGATAAAAGCTTGGGCCTATCCTACACAGATTTAACCAAAAAAGAATTTTACGGGTTGACCCATGGACACCACTACATGTATGTTTTTAATCTTTATAGAAAATTAAGGTAATGTTTGGTAATAAGTTGTTTTTGTTTTTATTTTTATTTTATGGCAAAAAAAATTAAAAATAAAAAAGCGTTTGGGATTTTTTTTGTTTTTTTTTTTGCTATTTCATTTTGAAAACAAGGTCAAAATATAGAAACATACAAAATGATGTTTTTGAAAACATCCAATAAATAAAACAGGCGGAAGTTAGGAACACAATTTAATGAGGTCCAACCTTCAAGTCATGTCAACAGCAAACAAATAATTTTTTTACTTGAGGATGAAAGCCCTTAATTTCTCATTTTTCTTTGCCCTTTTCTCGTCTCTATGCCTCTCCAGCTCTCGCCTCTCGCCTCTCTCTCTTGTAATTATTGTTGTGATTTTAGATAGTTGTTGGTGGTGGTTTTCGGTAGGGATGGCGAGGGTTTTTCAAGGAGTTTGGGGGTGGGTTTCAAGGGGTTGGGAGTGGGTTTTCAAGGGGTGTTGAGTGGGTTTCAGAGGAATGTTGGGAGTGAATTTTCAGGGGTTGAGAGTGGGTTTCAGGGGGTGGGTGATGGGTTTCAGGTGTGGCATGGGTTTTCAGGGGTGTTTGGAGAGGGGGGGAGGGTTCGGTGCGGTGTGGGGGTTTCAAGGAATGTTGAGGGTGGGTTTTCGGTGGGGTTTGGGGGTGGGGTTTTCGGTGGTGTTGGTTTATTGTTGGTGGGGGTGGGTTTTTGGTATGTTAGGTGGTGGATTGCAAGGGGTTTGGGGGTGGGTTTATGATGGGGTTAGGCGGTTGGTGGTGGTGGGTTTAAGTGGTATTAGGTGGTAGATTTTGGGTAAAATACAAAACATATTTTTTATTTTTGTTTTCATAATTTTTTTATATATAAATGACCATTAAATATGTTTTATATTTTTTAATTTTTATCCCAGAAAAATAAAAACTAGTTTTATTTTTTTTTATAAAAAAATAACATAAAAACAAAAACGTTGTCAAACGCATCCTAAAACTTTTACTNTTTTGTTTTTATAATTTTTTTATATATAAATGACCATTAAACATGTTTTATATTTTTTAATTTTTATCACAGAAAAATAAAAACTAGTTTTATTTTTTTTAATAAAAAAATAACATAAAAACAAAAACGTTGTCAAACGCATCCTAAAACTTTTACTTTAAACCTTGGGGTTCTCATACCTCTTTCGTTTTTTGGGTAAATAACCGGTTGATGTTTTGATGATCTCATTGAATTAATGTTTATTAAATATTTAATGAAAAGTTATTTCATTTTACTCCCCAAACAATGTAATCTATTTCACTTTACTCCGATACGTCAACAATTTCTATCTAACAACNCCTTTTTTGGGTAAATAACCAGTTGATGTTTTGATGATCTCATTGAATTAATGTCTATTAAATATTTAATGAAAAGTTATTTCATTTTACTCCCCGAACAATGTAATCTATTTCACTTTACTCCGATACGTCAACAATTTCTATCTAACAACATAACAGATGTTTACAATTGGGACAATGTGAAATAATCAAAGTAGTTGAGTGGGCAATGTGAAAATTCAATAGATGATGGAGAAAAGTGAAATGAGTCATAATTGAGGAGGTCAAAATATAATTTACCCTCACTAAATCCCCTATTGTGATCAGATTAATACGTAATGATGTCCAAATTTGCACCCATTAATAATTCGATGATAGCAGAAGTCCAACACAGCTTGTCAAGGATCTACAATGTATTGGCAGGCATCAAGATCTTCCTTCTTGGTCTTATTAATACTATGGTAAAATAACAATGTATTGACATCAAGTCCTTGCAACCCCCCCCCCCCCCTCCCCCCCGGGTTTCAGTATGATCATCTATATATTTGTAAAGGTGTGCTAGATGTGTAATTGAACACTCTAGAATTGCTATAATGTGGCGGATTGATAAATTTAGAAACCTATTTTTTGCTGTATTTGCTCTTAGTTCCTATTTTATGCACTGATAACTTCTATTGGTTTCACCATATAAAATTCTCATTTTTAACTGGTTATTTCACTTACGTCTTAGTAGATCTCTAGAGGTTGTCATGCCATGTTTGTGAGGAATTATCTGCATTCACAAACAATGCCCCATATTTTATATATGTTTATATTATAGTCCCAAAAAAGAAATCTAAGATCCATAAATTTTAAATAAAAAAGACCTTATTAAAAATTAAGCCTAGAAAAAACTCTAAACTCAACAATTTGAGCCCACAAAATACTTCGTTTGGCGTATTGAATTATAAAAAGACTAAACTCTTTTCCAATGCATGTGTTGCACATAAGTTGTTATTCACAAAATTTCAAATGCATGAATTCCAATACTTCATAAATACAAACCCACTATCAAAAATTTATTTATTTTGCAAATTTTGTTTAATCAATAAAAATATTATTTCTGTTAAAACTAAAACTCAATGTAGTTCACATGTAACGTACGTGTGCATCAACTAATAAAATTAAGAGCTCATTAGAGTTGTTTAAAAAAAATACTCTCTAAAATAAAAAAATATTATTAGAAATGCTCTTAGTAGGTTTAACTTAGCTCCTTATGGCATATTTATTAGGCCAAATAATAATCATACATTAAATTATATTATATTATATCTTACATGTTATTGAAGTATAGGCTTTAAATTAATATATTAATAAATAACCTTTAACTCATATTATTTGGTATGCTAGGGATATAACTTGGTCGAGTTTGATGGTTCCTAGAAAACCTAAGGTTGAGCTCGATAGTTTAGGTTATGCTATTCAAGTTGGGAGTTCAACTCACCTTTTAAATTACAAACCTCGAACTCAGACGTTAACCGCGTCCTGAGGAAGGCAGTGAAAAGGACAGTTGGATCCCACTGAGTACCTCTCCTTGTGGCGATAGTCACTCAGCAGGTACAAATCCGCTACAGTCATTGCGCAATATAGACGACCGTTACAAGAGAAGGGTGAGGATCTCATCTCAGATCAAACTAGGTCCAAGGATAACTATAAAT